AGTCTCCGAAATGGACGAAATTCACACATTGTATGTATATATGTTAAAATTGAAAATCACTTTGTGATCATAAACGATGTTATTTCGGCCATTCGGGACTGTTTAGGGGCTTAAGATGTTGTTTTTCGGTTTTGGGCTGGTGCGCTAACTTTTTGAGTGGAATGACGTAGTCTCCGAATTGGATGAATTCGCACGATATATTGTATATATGCAAAAACTGTAAATCACTCGCGATCACCGATGATGTTATTTCGGCCATTCATGACTGTTTAGGAGCTCAATATGTTGTTTTTCGGTTTTGTGCTACCGCACGAACATTTCGGGTGGAATGATGTAGTCTCCGAATTGGACGAAATTCGCACATTGTATGTATATTCTAAAACTAAAAATCACTTCGTCATTACCGACAATGTTATTTTGTCCATTCGAGACTGTTTAGGGGCCGGAATGTCATTTTTCGTTCTAGGCTGGCATGCGAACTTTTCGGATGGAATGATACAATCTCCGAATTACACGAAATTCGCACATTGTATTTGCTAAAACTAGAAATCACTTTGTGATCACCGATGATGTAATTTCAGCCATTCGGGACTGTTTAGGTCTCAAAATGTATTTTTTCGGTTTTTTGTTGGCGCGCGGACTTTTCTGGTGGAATGATGGATTCTTCGAAGTGGACAATATCCGCACATTGTATGTATATGCTAAAACTATAAATCAATTCGTGATTACCGACGATATTATTTCGGCCATTCGACACAGTTTAGGAGCCAAAAATGTCATTTTTCGGTTTTGGCCTAGTGCACGAACTTTTCGGATGAAATGATGCAGCCTCCGAATTGGATGAAATTTGCATATTGTATGTATCGTTTTTTGACTTTGGGCTGGTGCGTGAATATTTCGGGTAGAATGATGAAGTCTCTCGATTGGACGAAATTCACACATAGAATGTATATGCTAAATCTATAAATCAACTTGTGATTGCCGACGATGTTATCTCGGCCATTCGGGAGTGTTTAGGGGCTCAAAATGTAATTTTTCGGTATTGGGTTTGCTCGCAAACTTTTCGAGTGGAATGATGCATTCTCCGAATTGGACAAAATTCGGATATTGTATATATATGGTAGAACTATTAATCACTTTATGAACACCGATGATGTTACTTCGACCATTTGGTACTGTTTAGGGGCTCTAAATATTATTTTTCGGTTTGTGGCTAATGCGTCAACTTTTCAGGTTGAATGATGCAGTCTCCGAATTGGACGAAATTCGCACATTGTAGGTATATGCTAAAACTACAAATCACCTTATGATCACTGACGATGTTATTTCAGCCATCCGGGACTGCTTAGGGGCTCAAAATGTCATTCTTCGGTTTTAGGCATGCGCACGAACTTTTCGGGTGGCATAACGAAGTCTCTAAATTGGACGAAATTCGCACATTATATGAATATTCTAAATCTATAAGTCACTTCGTGATCACCGATGATGTTCTTTCGGCCATTCGGGAATGTTTAGGGGCTCATAATGTCATTTTTGGTTTTTGGGCTGCTGCGGAAACTTTTCTGGTTGAATGACGCAGTCTTTGAATTTTACAAAATTTGCACATTGTATGTATATTCTAAAGCAATAACTCTCTTTGTGATCACCGACGATGTTATTTCGACCATTTGGGACTATTTAGGGGCTCAAAATATCGTTTTTCGGTTTCTGGCTGGCGCGCGAACTTTTTCGGGTGGAGTGATGCAGTATCCGAATTGGATGAAATTCGCACATTATATGTATATGTTAAAACGATAAATCACATTGTGATCACCGACGATGTTATTTCGGCCATTCCGGACTTTTTAGGGGCTTAAAAAGTTGTTTTTCGGTTTTGTGCAGACGCATGAACTTTTCGGGTGGAATGATGCAGTCTCCCAATTGGACGAAATTCGCACATTGTATGAATATGCTAAAGCTTAAAGTCACTTCTTGGTCACCGACGATGTTATTTCGGCGATTCGGGAATGCTTAGGGGCTCAAAATGTCATTTTTAGTTTTTTGGCTGGCACACAAACTTTTCTGGTGGAATGATGCAGTCTTCGAATTTGACATAATTCACACATTGTATGTATATGCTAAGCCTATAAATCACTTCACGATCACCGACAATGTTATTTCGGCCATTTAGTTTTGGGCTGGCGCGCGAACTTTTCGGGTGGAATGATGCAGCCTCCGAATTGGATGAAATTCGCACATTGTATGTTTATGGTTAAACTATAAATAACTTTGTGATCACATTAGATGTTATTTTGGCAATTCGAGATTGTTCAGCACTCAAAAAGTTGTTTTTCTGTTTTCGGCTGGCGCGCAAACTTTTTGGTTGGAATGATACATTTTCATAATTGAACTAAATTCGAACATTATATGTATATGCTATAACTACAAATCACTTTGTGATCACCGACGATGTTATTTCAGCCAATCGGGACTGTTTAGGGCTCAAAATCTCATTTTCGGTATTGGACTGGTGCGCAAACTTTTCTGGTTGAATAATGCATTCTCCGAATTTGACGAAACCCACTCATTTTATGTGCATGATAAAACAATAAATCACTTCTTGATCACTGACGATGTTATTTCGGCCATTCGGGACTGTTGAGCGGCTCCAAATATCGTTTTTCGGTATTGAGCTGGAGCGCGAATTTTTTGGGTGGAATGATGAAGTCTCAGAATTGGACGAAACTCGCACATTTTATGTTTATGATAAAACTGCAAATCACTTTTTGATCACCAATGATGTTATTTCGGGCATTCGGGATTATTTAGGGGTTTAAAATGTCGTTTCTCTGTTTTGGTCTGGCGCGCGAGCTTTTCAGGTGGAATGATGCAATCTCCGAATAGGAAGAAATTCACACAATTTATGTATATGGTAAAATTATGAATCACTTTGTGATCACTGAATATGTTGTTTCGGTCATTCGGGACTGTTTAGGGGCTCAAATTGTTGTTTTTCGGTTTTGGGTTGGGGTGCAGACTTTTCGACTGGAATGATATAGTTTCCGAATTGGTTGAAATTCACACTTTTTTGTATATGGTAAATCTATAAATCACTTCGTGATAACCGACGATGTTATTTCGACCCTTCGGGACTGTTTAGGGGCTCAAAATGTTGTTTTTCAGTTTTGGGCTAGCGCACGTCCTTTTTGGGTGGAATGATGCAATCTACGAAATGGACTAAATCCGCACTTTGTATGTATATGGTAACACTATAAATCACTTCCTGATCACCGACGATTTTATTTCAGGAATCCGGGACTGTTTAGGGGCTCAAAATGTCGTTTTTTTGGTTTTAGGCTGACGCACAAACTTCTCGGGTGGAATGATCTTGTCTCTGAATTGGAAGAAATTCTCACATTGTATTTATATGCTAAAACCATAAATCACTTTGTGATCATAGACGATGTTATTTCCGTCTATTCGCGACTATTTAGGGGCTTAAAATGTCATTTTCCGGTTTTCGAGTGGAATGATGCAGTCTCCGAATTAGATGAAATTTGCACATTTTTTGTATATGCCACAATTATAAATCACTTCGTGACCACCGATGACGTTATTTTGCCCATTCAAGACTGTTTAGTGGCTCAAAATGTCATTTTTCGGTTTTGGGCTAGCGCGAACATTTCGGGTAGAATGATGTAGTCTTCGAATGGGACGAAAATCGCACATTGTATGTATATGCTAAAACTATAAATCACTTCGAATGCGACGAAAATCAGCCATTCTGGACTGTTTAGGAGCTCAAAATGTCGTTTTTCGGTTTTGGGCTGTCGCACGAACTTTTCGGGTGGAATAATGCAGTTTCCGAATTGGAAAAAATTCGAACATTGTATGTATATAGGAAAACTCACTACTAGAAAAACAACCTTTTACGACGCTCATTGCACGTCGTAAAAGGCTCAGACGATGCGCAAATGCGCGTCAAGGAAGGCCCTGTCATAAAGAGAGACGACGCGCATTTACGAGTCTCATTTATGACGCACAATTACGACGCGTGTTTACGACACGCAGTGCGTATCAAGGAAGGCCCTATCATAAAGGAAGACGACACGCATTTGTGTGTCGTAACCTTACGACGCGCGTGTTAATGACACGCAATGCGTATCAAGAAAGCCCATGTCAAGAAAGGCCATGTTATAAATGAAGATGACACAAATTTTTGCATATCATAATTTTAAATGTTTAAAAAACTATATTTTTATATGTATTAATTTTTAAATTAAATTTTCATTTAATGTCTCATAATAGAAATAAATTACCATATACAAAAAATACAATCCATTGCATAAAATTTAGTGTCATACAGTTCTATTTCATTACAATATATAAATTTGTATTCATCTAATCTAGTCTGTGTTTCATAGTAACAATTGAAATGAAGAATGCAACACTTGTATTTGCAGCATCTTATCTCGTTCAGCTTGAGCTTTCTTTTCCTCTTCTAACTCCAGAGCTATTCTCTTTCATCAATCCTGTAAAATTAATTCTTATTACGACACTCTACTTTTAAGCCTACCAAGTTCACAGGTAAGATTGCAATTCCACTTGGATTAACACTTGAATGCAACCTTGGGATCCCTTAAGTGAATGCAACATTCATTTTATTTATTTGTTTGTGTTTATTATTTAATCAGGTCGTGGTATATTCTAGAAAATGTGTTTAGGAAAAAGTTTTATCCACTTGGATCAACACCAAAAATACCAAACAAAACTGCAGAAATGGTACCTGTTCTATCCTTCGCCACTACACTCATTATCTGTTTCAGCCTTCAAAACTTCACCACCAAACTCACTTGAAACACCATACACCTCTCAGTCATGTTGCAAATGAAAACAAAATCTGAGAAATGGTTTTATTATTGGACCTATTTAACATATGCATGGACTTATTAAGTTTATTCATGAAAAAGAATAGAATAGAAAAGCACCTTTAGCAAATCTACCCAGTTTTAGCAAATGTATTACAAATACAAGAGCTGTTGTACCTCAACTGCTCTTGCTTCAAAAAAGTGATCAGGTATAGGTGCATGACCACCATCATGCTGAAGGATTCTAAGTTTGCCTTCCTACAACCAAAAATAAATAATAAAAATAAAAATATAGACTAAAGTTTTTTTTATTAGATAAAGTACAAACCTTGGTTCCATAAACAAGACCAACTCCAGCAAGAGGATGAAAGCAAGCCACATTGACCTCATCTTCTGCACTCGGAAGCACACTCACAAGTTCCATATCTGAAACTCTATATACCTGAAACCCAAAACCATATGTTCAAATAAACAACCATCAATTATTATTATTATGCTTTATGATGCCTTTACTTATGAATACTCATTTCTCGAAAATAATGCTTGAATCAGTTATGTAGGAGACACATTAGATAATATTTGGATATGGATTATTTCGGAGAGGTTTTCTTCAACAATGACAGGTAAGTAATAATAAATATACCTAAACTTACATCTATAATCCAGACATGAACTTTAATTTTTTTTTGGAAAACCGTTAGACTCTTAGGTTGCGTTTAGTTACGGAAAAACAGTTTTCATTTTTCGTTTTTTGTTTTCCCTTTTTGATTTTCGTTTTCTGTTTTCATTTTTCATTGAAAAATTTAGAAAACGTGTTTAGTTAAACTTATTCATTTTTCATTTTCAGTTTTAGAAAATTAGAAAACGTGTTTAGATGTGTATTTTTCTATTGGTTTTCATTTTTAAAAAACGGTAGCGGTGGTAAGGTGTGGGTGGGGCGGTGACGGTAGTGGGTCGGCGGCGGTGGCGGTGATGACAGGCGATGGTGGTGGCGGCGGCAATTGTGTCAGTGGTGGTGATGACAGGCGGTGGTGATGGTAGATCGGTGATTGTCGTGATGGTGTTGGGTGGTTGGGGGTGCGAGTGTGTGTTTGTGTGTGTTTGTGGGGGTATGTATGTATGTGGGTGTGTGTTTGTGGGTGGGTGTGGGAGGGTGGGTATGTATGTGTGTGTGGGTGGTGTGTGTGTGTGTGGGTGGGTATGTATGTGTGTGTGTTTGTGGGTTGGTATGTGTGCGTGTGTGCGGGTGGGTGTGTGTGTGTATGTTTGTGGGTGTGTGTGTGTGTGTGAATGGATATGTATATGTATGTGTGTGTGTTTGTGGGTGTGGTGTGTGGGGGGGGGGGAGGTTGGTGTGTGTGTGTGTGCGGGTGGGTGTGTGTGTGGGGGGGGGGGAGTGGGTATGTATGTGTGTGTGTGTGTTTGTGGGTGGGTGTGTGTGGGTGGGTGGGTATGTATGTGTATGTGAGTGGGTTGGTGTGTGTGTGTGTGTGTGCGGGTTGGTGTGTGTGTGTGTGTGTGTGGATATGTATGTATGTGTGTGTTTGTGGGTGGGTGTGTGTGGTTGGGTATGTATGTGTGTGTGTGGGTTGGTGTGTGTGTATGTGTGAATGGGTATGTATGTGTGTGTGTTTGTGGGTTGGTGTGTGTGTGTGTGTGTGTGCGTGCGGGTGGGTGTGTGTGGGGGTAGGTAGAGGTGGATGGGGTGGAGTGGGTGTGTGTTTATAGAAAAATTTTGGAATTAGAAAAATATGGAAAACAATGATTATCAGTTTTCCAAAATTTTCCAACTTCTTTGTAATTTTAGAAAACGGAAAATTTTCATTTTCCGTGAAAAATTTAGAAAAATAGACAAACTAAACGCGTTTTCAAAATTCTCATTTTTCTTAGAAAATTTTTCTGAAAAACGGTCCATTTTTCCACAACTAAACGCACCCTTAAGTGTCCATTCTCTTTTCACATTTTAAATCTAATTAGAATTATATTGAATTCTTAAGAAATAAAGGTTAATATGAACAGGGCAAGTTTATTTCAAGCATTAGGCATATCCTATGATTGTTTCAATATTTATCTCATATATGAGTGATGACTTATTAGCACATTTATATTTGTTTTTATCTTTTCAAATATTTTGACATTTTCAAGATGGTTAGGATCTACATCTGTTAATTTTTAATTTTCATTTTGTAGTTTAGATTATTTATATCACTCTCACTCACTTTTTCGTATAACTCACACCCATTACCCCTACAGAGCACAAGAAAAAGAGTGTTGATAACGACACAGGTGATGTGAATATCCAACAACTTACATATGATGATGAGAAGATGTCAAAGGTTGCTATGCAACGTAAAAGAGGAGACTTTATGAATCCATGAAGACTTGCTTTCATTTTTTTCCACTTTTATTAATAAACGAAATATGTATTATTAATGTTTTTAACATTATATTTCATTCAAATTTACCAAGAAAAGAAAAATACAAGTGTGGACACGCTCAAGACAAAGAAAACAAATATTCACAAAATCAAGAAAATGACATCATATTGAAGTTGAATTCTCTAAGGTCCCAACTTTCATTAGCAGTGAATTTAATTTTGTTTTGTGATGTTTCTTTTTTTAACAGTGAATGGACACTGGACTATAGTATGAAATTACAGAAATGGTCCCAGGATTAATGGAATAGTAACATGTTTTTAGTTCCCTGGATTAATAAGTACATTTTTGGTCCCTGTAGTTTTAAATTTCAGTAACTATAGATTTACCAAATGTAGTTTTTTATTTCAATAATATATATTTCATTCCATGCAGTTTATAATTTATATCAATTAGATTTTTGGTCCTTGTAGTTGTTAGTTTAAGATAGGTATAGTTTTCAATATGTAGATTTAATCCGTGTGATTTTTAGTTTTGATAACTACAGTTCCAGTCCTTATAATTAATTACTTGCATTAGTTACAATTTTGGTCCCTGTGATCAGGGTAACCCTACTAGTTATAACTTTCATTAGTTACAATTTTGGTCCTTGTAATCAGGGTACCCCTACTAGTTATAACTTGCATTAGTTACACGAGAGTATACTTAAGGAATGGAAAAATTCTGAAGCAGTAACAACCTGATGCAAAAAGTCATCTATGGCCTAGTTCCAAAATATACTAAAAGAGTTAGACTCCTAAAATAACTCAAAAAAGTTTAATAAACTAAATATTCCAAAAACACCCTTAGGACTCTTTTTGTCCTACAATCTGAATTAAGTCAACAACAAAATCTAAAATTTTCCAACCAAGGATCTCCAGAACCAACACATGTGCAACAAATGACATCAGCACTCTGAGATATCTGTCGTTCTGTAGCGCACTTGAGTGCTTTATACTTTTTCTCGTCACGACTGGACAATTCCCCTGCGTAAGTTACCAAATAAATATCTGTCAGCTCAATCCACCAACCATAATTTTTGATAATTTACACAAAAAAAAAAAAAAAAAAGTCAGGAAGATCAGGTCAGGTGTATAAATGACATTAATGGTGCTAGGAAAAGAAAACAATGTCGATAACACATGAATGAGATTTGACAAACAAGCAAGAAATGAATTAGCATTTGTAACCCTAAGAGCCGATGGAGAGCGTGAGTTCATGTTCTTCCGCCATCCAAGTGTCGATATGCTTCTCACAGAGGCAGAACTCGATACAGATTTGATCCAAAAGGTTCATTCAATCATCCTTTTTTGATGGCTGTATATTTAGAAAGATTAAATTGCGACCATTTTTTGTTATTTAACCAGTCGACAATCTTTCACTACGGATCCATTAGTTTGATTGAAGATCCATGCAAATCAGCTCACGTAGCTGCATTGAAAATTGCTAAAAAAAGCAAGAAGCATTCTTTCATATGATCCTAATTTAAGACTACCTTTATGGCCATCACCTGAGGCTGCTCGAAAAGGCATCCTGAGAATTTGGGATCAAGCAGATTTTATCAAGGTGCAAAATTTCATAGTGGGTTGACTTTTTTTGACATAAACCTTTTGATGGGTTATTGACTTTTCGGGAAATTACAGATTAGTGAAGATGAAATTGTGTTCTTGACTGGAGGTGATGATCCCTATGATGACAAAGTTGTCTTGACCAAACTTTTTCACCCAAATCTCAAGTTGTTGATAGTCATAGAAGGTCCTAATGGTTGCAGATACTACACCAAGGTTATTTTTGTAAATTTAATACGATTGTTGGATTATCTTAATTGATATCAATTTGCGAGTTTTATTTTCAGTATTTTCATGGGAAAGTTGGTGGTGTTAAGGTGAAGTGTTGATACAACTGGTGTAGGTGATGCTTTTGTTCGAGGACTCCTTCTCAATTTGGCCAAAAATACTCAATTATTTAAGGTTAAACATTTAAAAAAATTGGTTGAAAAAATCATTTTCTGAATATATTGAGTTTTATAAGATTTATGTCATGCCCCGTTTTAGGATGAAAATAAGCTAAGAGATGCATTGAGGTTTGCAAATATTTGTGGGGCCATTACAGTTACAGAGAGAGGAGCGATTCCATCATTGCCTTCCAAGGAAGCTGTTCATAAGAAGTTGGAAGAATCCGAAAATAAATAACTTGTGTCATTTTTTTGGTTTGAAATTAGAAGAAATGATTATTAAATAGCCTTCTACAAGGTAGAATGTACTAGAGAACAAATATGAACAAAAAATAGAGTTTGTTCATTATATAATTGTATTTATGTATTGTACCTTTGCTTGTAGTTCTTGAATTCGTTCATTATATACTTGCATCTGAAACACCAACAATTAAACTCAAAATAAATCAAAGAATTTCGAGCTCAAATGAATGAAAATCCATATTTGAGAGTCAACTTCTTATTCTTTTCTGTGATAAAAGTCAACCTTTCAAGCACAAATGATGGATACACTCCTCTCTAGCTGTTGTTCAAGCTTTTGTAGTTCACCAATGGTGCTTGATCCCAGACCTTCTCCGAAAAGTTTCCTGTAATACAAAAACCAAGACCATATATATATATATATATATATATATATATATATATATATATATATATATATATATATATATATATATATATATATATATATATATATATATATATATATATATATATACTTATTACTTATTACTTATTACTTACAGATACCAAGACCACCCCATCCTTTGTTGATGATGCCCCTTTGTCCAGATATTTCTAGGGCTTTAACGATTGTCTGTGTCATTTTCTCAGGCTCTTGAACTGGCTGATAATGGATAAATAAAATTGTGGGAATTTATATTTAGATTACTTTTTTTTTATAATATAAATTATAAAAAGCATAAAAGAACTGATGATATGGATAAAGAAAACTCACAAGGCTACCAAATCCAATGTAGATAGGCTTTGGGCCAGCGTACAAGTTCTTCAGGGGGTTTGTAGTTTGATGCGAGATCAAGGAAACAAAATCCAACCACATAAATTTTAGGTCCCCAATCTGTGAATATTATGATTTGATTAATCCATCTCATATAATAAAGTCTAATAAATAGTTAATATAGGGAAAATTTACCTTTTGGTTTAGGAACAAGATGAGGACTCCATATGTATCCATGTGGAATATCAGTCTCAGAGCCTTGAGAACCACTAAAATACGTGACAGGTCACAGATTCAACTTTTTCTTCCTAACATCATTTATCATGTCTCGAATTCCAAGCCAGATTAAAGAGTCAACTATCTATCTGATATGACAACTGCAACAACACATGTAAAATACAAAAGTTAATTATGTAATAGAAACAAAAAGAACTACTAATATTAACGATTGAACTTACTCTATATCCAGCTGGTTGCTTGACACGGGATAGAGGATGAGGAAATTCCTCCTGTTGAAGAAACTCCATGTTTAAGTTAGACAATATCCTAGCTCGATCACACTCTGGGATAAGGATAACGGGTTCATCATCAAGATAGCGAACCGGATCTCCATAAGGGCCCACCATCAGAAGTATATCATCCCAACACAGCAATACACTGTCCATTCCACACCAAGAAAGTTGCTCTGGAGCTAGGGTAGAATGTAGAAGAAACAAAAACAAGAAATCGTTATATAAGGGGAAGATAATGAAACTTTATTGAAGCCTTGAAGTTGTAGGGACGTCAAACTGAAGACAAAAAGAAGAAAAAATTTATTTGTGAGATAAGATACATGAAGAATGTAGCTTTTGGGAGTGAACCAAGAAGGAGTAGGATCAGATACGTCTCCTTGACGGGAGGCGCGTAGGTCAGCGACTGTGGCGAAGAGGAGAGATGGGTTGGAGGAGAAGGCGGAAGTGCGTGCTTAGGTTGATGGCGAGCTTCGGCTTTGATTTCGTTCCAGACCCAGTCGCATTCGTTTTCTCAGCCATTAACGGCGGTTTGTGGAGATGATGATGGCATCGTGGACTACGACATGGCGTTCCGATCTTGAACCAGTATCTTGAGATGGCGAAAGTGTGTGCTTAGGTTTCTAGATGCACTCCAAACTCTTAAAGCTTATCAAGTTCGATGTTGGTGGTGGCAGATTAGGGCTTGCAGAGAGAGAGAGAGAGAGAGAGAGAGAGAGAGAGAGAGAGAGAGAGAGAAAGAAAGAGAAAGAGTGCAGAGGTAAAGGAAGACAAGTCGATTCAAAAGGATGTGCTGATTTAAAAGGATTATTAGGGTTCTATTGTAGGATTCTAGTGTGGATTGAGTTTTTAAGGTTCAATGGCAGTGGCAGTGGCAATGGCTTAGGGTTTATAGAGAGAAGGAAGGAGTGAATGAAAAAGGAGATACTACAGAGAGAGGGTAGAAGCGGGGTTCTACAAAATTTTAGAATTCCAGACGATTTCGTTTTCCCCCTTTAAAAACGCGCGTTTAGGTAAATATATATATATATATATATATATATATATATATATATATATATATATATATATATATATATATATATATATATATATATATATATATATAAAGCGGCACATTCAGAGGATGCACACTTTATGAAAGGCGCCCTCCGCATTTTTTTTTCTTTTCTTACACTAATTTTAGGGCACGCACAAATGCGTGTCCATTATCCTTCAAATTTTGCAAAATTAACATTATTTTTTAGGGCACACACCAATGCACGTCCTCTATCAGCGAGTGTCATTGTTTGCGTGTCGTTAAAGGGCTGTTTTCTAGTAGTGACAATGTATTATTTCGTGATCACCGACGATCTTATTTTTGCCGTTCAGAACTATGTAGGGGCTCGAAATGTCGTTTTTTGGTTTTGGGCTGGCGCGTGAACTTTTCGGGTGGAATGATGCAGTCTCCTAATTGAACGAAATTCACACGTAGTATGTATATGCAAAAATTATAAATCATCTGGTGATCACCGACGATGTAATTTTGGCCATTCGGGAATGTTTAGGGGCACAAAATGTTGTTTTTCGGTTTTGGGGTGGCGCGTGAACTTTTCGGATGAAATGATGTAGTCTCCGAAAAGGACAAAATTCGCACATTGTATGTATGTGCTAAAACTATATATCACTTCAAGATCACCAACGATGTTATTTCACCTATTCCGGACTGTTTAGGGGCTCAAAATATCATTTCTCGGTTTTCGGCTGTTGCGCGAACTTTTCGGGTGAAATGATGTAGTTTCCGAATTGGATGAAATTCGCACGTTGAATTTATATGCTAAAACTATAAATCACTTTGTGATCAGCGAAGATGTTATTTTGGTCATTCGTGACTTTTTAGGGGCTCAAAATCTCGTTTTTCGGTTTTGGGTTGGCGCACGAACTTTTCGGGTGGAATGATGCAGTCTCCAAATTGAACGAAATTTGCACATTGTATTTATATGTTAAAACTATAAACCACTTCGTGATCACCGACGATGTTATTTCGGCCACTCAGGGTTGTTTAGGGCTCAAAATGTCGCTTTTCGGTTTTGGGCTGGCACGTGAAATTTTCAGGTGGTATGATGTAGTCTCTGAATTGGTCGAAATTTGCACATTGTATGTAAGAGCTCGAAATGTCATTTTTTGGTTTTGGGCCAGCATATGAACTTTTCGGGTCGAATGATATAGTCTTCGAATAGTACGAAATTTGCACATTGAATATATACGCTAAAACAATAAATCACTTCGTGATCACTGACAATGTTATTTCGGCAATTCGGGACTGTTTAGAGGCTTCAAATGTCATTTTCCAGTATTAGGTTGGCGCGCGAACCTTTTAGGTGGAATGATGCATTCTCCGAATTTTACGAAACTGGGACACTTTATGTATATGATAAAACAATAAATCACTTCGTGATCACCAACGATGTTATTTCGTGTATTCGAGACTATTTAGGGGTTCAAAATGTTGTTTTTCAGTTTTAGGTTGGCGCACGAGCTTTTCGGGTGGAATGATGCGGTCTCCGAATTGGACGAAATTTACACATTGTATGTATTTGGTAAAACTATAAATCACTTTGTGATTACCGAATAGGTTATTTCGGCTATTCAGGACTGTTTAGGGGCTTAAATTGTCGTTTTTCGGTTTTGGGTTGGGGTGCGGTCTTTTCGGGTGGAATGATACAGTCTTCGAATTGGACAAAATTCGCACATTTTATGTATATGGTAAATCTATAAATCACTTTGTGATCACCGACGATGTTATTTCGGCCCTTCTGGATTGTTTAGGGGCTCATAATGTTCTTTTTCAGTTTTGGGCTAGCGCACGAACTTTTTGGGTGGAATGATGCAATCTCTGAATTGGACGAAATTCGAACATTATATGTATATTTTAACACTATAAATCACTTTGTGATCACCGACGATTTTATTTTAGCAATTCAGAACTGTTTAGGGGCTCAAAATGTCGTTTTTCGATTTTGGGATGGCGCGAACTTTTCTGGTGAAATGATGTAGTCTCCGTATGGGACTAAATTCTCACATTGTATTTATATGCTAAAACCATAAAGCAATTTGTTATCACCGACGATGTTATTTCCGTCTATTCGGGACGATTTAGGGCTCAAAATGTCATTTTTCGATTTTGGGCTGGCGCACGAACTTTTCGGGTGGAATGATGCAGTCTCCGAATTGGACAAAATTTGCACATTGTTTGTATATGGTTAATCTATAAATCACTTTGTGATCACCGACGATGTTATTTCGGCCATTAAGGATTGTTTAGGGGCTCAAAATGTCGTTTTTTTGGTTTTGGGTTGGCGCATGAACTTTTCGGGTGGAATGATGCAGTCTCAAAATTAGATGAAATTCGTGCATTGTATGTATATGCTAAAAATATAAATTACTTCGTGATTACCGACGATGTTATTTCCGTCATTCAGGACTGTTTAGGGTCTCAAATGTCGTTTTTCGGTTTTGGGCTAGCTCGCGTATTTTTCGGATGGAATGATGCAGTCTCCGAATTGAACGAAATTCGCACATTGTCTGTATATGGTAAAACTAGTCTATCTTTACAATTTTATAAAATACAACTAGTCTAAAACTAATTTATTACATATAAAAATAAACACATGAAATAATAGTTATTTATCTATTACATCATCATATGAATAAATAGTAACCACAAAAGTCCTAATGGCTTGTTTATACACAACAAACATATCAAACATACCAACAAACAACTCTTTGTTTTTTCTAAGGCAACCTTTATATAACCATAATGCATGAAAAAAAAAATTATATAAAAATAAACACTTTTAACAACAAATTGCCAAAGAAAACAAATATAGATATTTCTTTAGTCAAAAAGAAATTCATGATTGTTTTCAAAAAACCAAAGATTATCACATAAAAAATCATTCTAACATTTAAAAGATGGTTATGATACCACTGAAGGGTTTTTGTTGCATAAATATATAGTTTTTCACAAAAAACTAGCAACAAGAGCTTTAAAATTTCATATAAATTTTGAGTATGACAACAAAACAAATCATCAAGGATCCTTTTAAAGAGGTTAGAATGATGTTACAACAACCATAGGGTGTTTAGAAACAACAACCTTTGATGCCTTTAGACCCTCTTGTATTTGGGGTGTTGAAGTAGATAGCAAGAACAATAAGCTTTATTTTCTCTACAAGTAATCCACCAACAAGAATAAGGTACTCAAAATGAGGTACTCAAAATGCTAGCTTTCCTCTTGTATGACTTTGTTCTTTAAGCCTTAAGTTCTTAAACAATTAAGCACTATAAGGAAGACATAATGTAAGCACTAAAAGCTAAAACACCAACTTCAAAAGTGGAGAGAGGCTCTCCCTTAGGTGCTCTCGGCTTTAGAGAGAAATAGAGAGGAGAAAGACCAAAAGAACTTGTTTCATTTCATGCACAAGAGTCCCCTTTTATACACCCATGCAAATTAAAGTCAAACCATTGAAATACTCCAAAGTGTTTTAAAGCATAAAGTGAAAAGGGGACAAAGTATGGACACCAACTTGGGAAGAAAACATAAGCAATCTCCCATACACTAGGTCATTTCGGCCATGATGACTTGGAAAAGACAAAAATTGTCTCCAACTTTATTAACCATGGTAAAGTAAGTCTTTAACTTAATCATGCTTAAGTGAAGGGTCCAAAACTTTGTACATGACTTATTATATGATATCATCTCATATAATGGCTAGTTCCTAGTTTCTTTTATTATTATTTTCATAAAATAATAATTATTCTCTAATTAAATACAAGAGTTGAATTTATTTATTAATAACAAATTACTTAATAAATATTTAATAAGTGCTAACTTGATTAAGGTGTGAGCCTATAGGATCATATGCCATTAGCAATGTTATTTAATAATGATTCTTGTGCATATAGGTTCAATGTTCTCACTAGTAGCCATCCTTTGGGCTCGTCATGCATAGTATGCAGAGTCCTTGATATTGGGTTTTTGTGGCACTTCAGCCATGCAATCTTTGGCATAGTGATTTGCATGACCACACTTGTGACAAATGATATTTGGTTTGTCTGACTTCGGAATTTCATGGGATTCTGAATGATGATTTGGTGTAGAGATGTTAGGTTTATAAGTAGGTTGATTTTCTGAAGGTTTGGGAAATGATTGGGCATTACTTTGATGAGGAGCTTGTAAACGTTTGTGATATGGTTTGTGAGTGGGATTGAAAGGACTCTTATATTTCATGGGAAGTAAAGCAAACTCTTGTTTAAAGCAAAGTTCAGAGTCCATTGCTTCAGGGTCGAGGTCTCCATCAAACCGATAGTTTGAGCTAGCAGGAGCAGGTAAAGCATATGGAGTGGGTTGAACAGGTAGGATAGGTGGGATAATAGCTTTGAACGGGTCCGAAACAGAGGGGTTCGAGATGTGAGGATCGAAAGAACTAACAAGATCAAGAGGACCTCCTGAGAGTTCTCTCAAAGTTTGTGCAACATTTGATTCATAACCTTGAAGCTCATCAAACAGGTGGTAAAGCTTCAACTTCTTCAGAGATCCATTACTCTTAAGACATGATTTCACATTTCCCCATCGCTTACCAAGACTATTGATGAATTTTAGATTGTATTCTAGTGGAGTTGGGAAAATACCATGAGATGTCATGTTGTTCAACAATTTGGTATTAGTTAGAGGTCAAGGAAACTGATTCACCAGGAGTTGTGGTGAAAGTATTGAACTCGTTAACAAAGGAAGTCAAACACTTATCCTTCATGTTTTCTAATCCCTCGAACAGGCCTTGGAGTGTGTCCCAAATATCTTTAGCGGATTTTCACAACTTAATGTGCTCAAAGAGAGAAGGAGGAACACCGAACACCATCTTAGGAATATGTAATTTGATATGCATGCAGTTTTTCAATATCATCAGCAGTGAGAAGGTTTGAAAGTTGTTCTTCCTGTTCCATGAGAGTTGCAGCAGCATCTCTCACATTCTGTCTTACTGGAACATGTGGACCTTCTTTTACGGGTCTCCAGATAGCTTCACTTTTCTCCTTACCAAGTAAGAATCTTTCCATTCTAACTTTCCAATGATCATACTCTTCAACAACTAGCAGTGGGGCACGAGAAGAGCAACCCAAGTTATTTGTTATTTGCGTTGAATACATTTGTTGAGAATTAGGAGCAACCATTAAAGTTAAGATATTAGAGCAGAAGCGGTATATAGAAGAACTTTTAACTTGAACACGGAAATGATTGAAATACCAACGTAATTTCAAATAAACTATAATTTGTTCTTATGGATTCAAAGGACAACAACTCAAGCTTTGATACCAATTGTGAGTATAAGAATCAATGCGCAAGGACAAGGTTTGGAAACTCAAACCTTGAGTTAATCTTTAAGATCAATGTCTGCTCTTAATTAATGGTTCCAGACGAATCTAACAATACCAGTTAGGACTTGAAGAAAGATTCAACAAAGTACTCTAATATTACATGAAGTAAAATAGGAGTATAATTAATGTAAAGACATTCAGTGAACAAGAAGAATGTTGTGAAAGATCTTCACTTGAGAGAAAAGTGAAAGTTAAGTAAATATAATTTTTGCTATCTTTGGAGTAACAACACATATATTTCTTGTCATTCAAATCACTCCTTAAATAGACTAAGGAGGAACATCGTACAAACTGGGAAAGATTCCTAGGACTGGATAATAATCAGTCACTGACAAACTGATTATCTAAAAGATACATAAAGGAAATTCATCTGAAATGTTACATCCATAATAAGACAAGAAACATTAAATGCTCGAATTGATTGTAAATCTCAGAATTGCCCTTCATCTCAAAATGATCTTCATCTTGTACTCCATCTCTATCTCGGACTTCACATATCTCTGACTTAACAGGCGTCAAATCTTTATTACTTGTGATTGCTAGAGGTTCACTTTTCATGTTTCAATAGGTTTGACTTGAATTTGACCCATTTTAACTACTTAGGACTATTTTTCTCTTGTTTTGGATGGAGAGGTACTTGGGATGTACACTAGAAAAGTTACATTCCTACTTAATAGAACTTTAGGCCATAATTGTCAAAAAATCGAAATTAGGGAGTGGAAAGTGTAAATTTTCAAAATAAGAGTCTCACACCTTGCACTCCAACAGATGGGATCGACTTAGGAGCTTTATGGTTGTTGATAAATGGCGATTCAAGAATAGAAAGACCCTACAATTTGATCTCAAGCTTTTCTAGTTCATTTAGAGCACATTATGAAGTAATTTAGTGGTCTAAGGTATAACTTCTTTCCCCCTTGGTGTGCAAATCCGAGTTTCACTTTTTGTTTGGATGTTAAATCTGATTTTCATCCCATTAGAGGACTAGGGTTTGTGTTCTAAGGAAACTAAGATGATTATGTTAGCTTCTATCTCAAGTCTTTCATATAGTGGAGATTTAGTTGAAATTGCTAAATCTCCACAAACCCTAGATGTTCCAATAATAATGATGATGTGATAATCTAACCTTTATACGATTCCATGACCATTGAGGAAGTATTTATTGCAAATCTTCATAGAATAACACAATTCAAGCAATGGTATAATCATTTACTTAGATTATGAAGCTTGGGGACATTTATGAAATATGAACCTTAATGGTGATTGTTGGAGATATAAGAAGTGTGTATGGTTCATAACCATAATATTATGTTATAGATTAAGAATTGAAGGTCAACATGAAGAATCATCCTAGTGTGGTTCTAGTGATTGTTGGGACAAAAAGGGCAAAATGGGAATAAAAGAGGAAAAACATGTTCTTGAGATCACTTTTATGTATTGGAATGTTGAGAAACTTGCCATACTTATATATATATATATATATATATATATATATATATATATATATATATATATATATATATCAATCTATTGGAAATTATGTTCATGGAGGAAGCGGTTAGTAAAGACATTAAATCATTTGGTGGATTGAGTACTTTTTCATATTAGGTGGCTTAGTGACAACTTGATGCTTTTAATCATTGGGAAAGCTTATTGAATTAAGTCAAATTAATAAGAGTGGCACAATAATTTTGTACTTTTATTGGTGTCTTATTGGGTTTAAGTTAAGTGCTTAATGGAAATTGGGATTTCTTGGACGTGGGGCATCCATGTATAGACACGAGGCACCTGGTGCAACAGATCCCGGATGATGCGAATTCTTTCACGACTTCTATTTGATTCCATTTTTAAGCATCCCCTATGTTATAATGACTTGTAATCCTTGTTTTTAAATGAATTTATGTATAATTCTTAGATTACTTTTAGCAGTATAGTAATGTAATTTCAATTTATATAGGTAGTGATTGAGACTGGTTACTTATTGAAGAGAAGTGGAATAAGAAGGTAGGAACTAAGGTGAGTTACCAGGAACATACATCCCACACCTACTAAATTTTTATAAAACTTACTTGATTCTCATTTCATGGTACTTTATGTACACATTGATTGTTATATGTTGTAATTGTGCATTTATGCAAAATATTTTCTTGAAATGTTTTGATTGATCTTCCTTCATCCTCCATCTACACTATGAGGGCCGACCGAAATATGTTTGGTTGTTTAATAGCCATGAAACTCAACAGCTTGGAAACTTTGAAAAATGTTTTCGTCATCGTGTGTGTGCATATTCATACCAGGACGGGTTTGACTTGAGATCCCGAGTACCCTAATGGACATTGATTATTGTTGTTATTAGATTTCTAGATAATCCTCACATGAACAAGTAGAGGTGTGTTACTCCTCTTGTAGCCTAGGTTAGATAGCCCCTAGTGCCATGTTTGTGGATATAAGGGCAAATTTGACATTTTGTTTGTCGCATGTTCTTCACATTCGACCATCAAGTTTATGAGTTGGACTTTAAGATTGACATGGGGTTGGTAATGGATGCATGCATAACATTGCATTTAACATGAAATTCTTATACATCTTTTGGCATTATTTAAACGAAAGAAAAATATTTTTTGCATCTTTCAAAATATAAATTATAAGTTTAGGGAGGATCAATTCGAGTATTAGGATTGTTATTCCTTATTCAAAATGAGTTGATCCTATGATAGCTCACTACACATTTCAGTATCGGACTTATTTTGGATGTATGTTCAAATTGAGAGGTTGATGCTTAGGAGTTAGCATGGATTTTTGAAAACATCGGCTTGTGAGGAACTTGGACCTTTGTTATGATACCTAATGAATAACTTTGCTTCTTTAAACTTTTGGGACCGTTAAACTTTTCCGCATTAAACTTGAAAGTTTTGAATATTAACAATTAAAAACTTCATCGAAAATAATTTTACAAATAGACCCTAAGGAGGGGTGTTACAAAATATTAATTAAAAAGTCAAAATGATCTTGACTTGGCTATGTTTGGATATAAAGTAATAACAAGTTAATTTTCTAGGATTCATATAAAAATATCTGAGACATATTAGTTTAATTTGAAATTAATTGGTGATAAACGAGAAACTTAAAAATCTAAGGACCAATATTACCAATATGTCAAAGTTATGAACTTACACCAAGTTCCCTCTCTTATTCCTCATTCTAACGCTTGGAGAATTGGAGATAGATGATGAAATTGGGAGCAAAACTTAAGATCCAATAATGCTTCTAAGCTTATACTTGAATTAGAAGCTTGTAATGTACCTTTCTTCTCTTTTGTTGTCTTCTATGTTACATTAAACTCTATGAAGAGTAAATTACACAAATGGTCCCTATGGTTTGGGGTAATTTTCATACTTTGTTTCTAATTTATTTTTTTAACTCGAAAAATCCCTACTGTTTGTTTTTATTACGCATTTGATCCCTATCTTATCTAAAAAACTATTTCTCTTTTGATTTTTTTTTAATTTGTTTAAATAAACACACCTCAACCTCACCCCTCACCTTACCTTACCTACACCACAATTTTTTCCTATTTAAATAATCATCTTTTTAGGTAAAATAGGAACAAAGCGCCTAACATAAACAAATAGTATGGACCAAACGCGTAACAAAAATAAACAGTAGGAATCTTCCGAGTTAAAAAAATAAGTTAGAGACCAAACGCATAAATTAACCCAAACCATAGGGACCATTCATGTAATTTACTCTAATATGAAATTGAAGACGAACTTAGGGATCTAATCAAATTCAATTTCTTAGTATGGATTTGTGCTTTAGGCATATTGATGACGAGCTTAGTTTTGTGCTTTAGGCATAGTGTGAACAATTTTTAAACGTAGAGGCCTAAAACAATGCAATGATTTCAAGAAATGCAAACAATGTAGAGGCCCATACAAATACGATTAAAATTGAAGGCTCAATTTAGTGACACGTCAAAAATCCAAAACTCAAACTCATTACCCTCAAAATAATTCAATTATTTTAGACCAAAACCAAAACACTCAAATTCATTCCATTCCATTCCATCATTCCTACTCTGATTCCGATTCCGCACTCTGAAGCCATTCCACAAACGGCTTCGCATTCCTCCAGATAACGGAATCCTTATTCCCACCTTTCAACCCCTCCCCATACCACTTCACCACATACTCCTCCTCCACCACATCCGCATCATAAAGCGCCTTCAAAACAAGCGCCACCTCCTTCACCGCCACCGGATTCTTCACCTTCCCACAATACTCCTCCACCGCCCCAAGCAACATCATCTGCCCCTCCTCCCCATCCGCCACCACCGCCGCCAGATACTTCCGTCTCTTCACCACCACCTTCGCAAACCCCTTCTCCACCCCGTCAAATAACCCTTCATACACCGCGTTCACGTTCTCCTTTCTCGTCCCAGTCAGCGCTGACATCATCACATCCGGCCCCACTCCTTTCTCCAAATCCTCCTTCACTTTCTCCACTAGAATCTGATGTGGCGTTTTCGCCTCCTCCGGCTCATCCAACAGCATCACCATGTCGGCTGTCACCGCGCTCAGCTGTTCTTGTACACGCTGGCGTGCGGCTTCCGCTGACGTGTCAGTCTGCCATTGGATGTTGTCATCGTCGACATCTGCCACGTCAGCAGGTGGTGAAGATGTGGGTTTTACTTCTTTTCCCTTTTTTTTACTCTTGACCTTTTTATTCTCCTCATCAGCTGCTTCCCCTTCTTTTAACCTCTCCTTTTCAGCCCTCCTAAGGGCTTTTTTGTCTTTTGACTTTTTTTGCTCAGGTGGGTTTTTGAGGATAAATGATGTTAACTTATCTCTCATGTCCACGTCAGATATGAACCCACAAGCAGCACATTTGAGCTGAACCATTTGAGTTTTAGTAATCAAAACTTCAGTTTCTGGATTCCCACATCCGTAACACTGAACGTATTTTTTAATAAAAATTTCAAGAAGACCCGCGAGTTTTGCAGTGTCGTGGGACCCGTTGACCAAGGACACACCCGTCTTTTCATCAAATTTCGATTGGGCACCGAGTTCACACCCGAAATACTTAGTAGTATAAGAAGGTGGTCTAGCTAAAGCTTTAGCAACATCAACCATGTTGACTATATTTGTTTTAATTCCATTTCCACGCCCTTCAATTTTGGTGACCATTTTGGGCATTTTGTATCTGTAAAAGGCGTCATCACTGTTGCCAGCACCAATGTTTTGTAATGCCATTTTTGGGGGGTTGATAGTGGAGATATTAGAGGAGGGTGGTGATGGAATGTTTCAGAGATATGGTGGAGAGAAAAGGTTGTGGCCAAGAGTGACCAGTGAATGATGTGGTGTGTTGGAAATGGAATGGTGATTGATGCATATAAAGAGAGGTCTTTTTCCTTGATGTTGGAGAATATTCACCTAACAACCCAATCCACCCTAAGTAGAGAATAGCCTGCTCGGACATAAAAAACACTTTTGACTTTTAGCTAGCTCCAACTTGCAATCTATAAAAGCAAAATGGCTGTGTAACCTTCAAAAAAGAAATGGTGTTGTTAGTATCTAAATAACCACATGAAGAACAATACAAAAGCTCATCTATTCTATCTACTCATATGATTTGGGTGTATCTACTACCGTCTAGCTCAAGCAAGTATATAAATTTGAAATATGGAAACAGCCTGTACATCGAATTTATCAACAAATAAATGTCGACTACATTAATTATTAAAGCAGAGAAACTCCGAGACAACATGATGAATGCAAACTCAATTAGATCTGACCTGACCTAAAACTTCAAAAAAGATGATTTCTACCTTATCGTATAGACTACACCAAATCGTAACTGAATAGATTTTTACTAAACTAATCAAGTAACGTGATTAACAAACAGTCGTGTCAGATTCAGCTTACATCTCCAAAAACAGCGATCACATTCAGATGATGAAATTCAAAATTATCGAGATTTACGAACATATAATCAGAGATCCATAATTAATCGACACAATCATAAGTGTAAAACTACAAATAGAAACCGATACAGATTGAGAACATACAGATAACAGAATCCAATTTGATGATGATAACGCAAATAAAAAGTATGTATAGACTTACCGATTCAACACTGCTTAGGTTGAGAAGAGAAAGAGGAGAGACGCTATTTAGGGTTTTGAGTTGTGGATGTGAGAAGAGCGATCGAGGTCTGAGGGGAGAGGCTACCTATGCAATACATTTATATAGGGTTGGTATCGTGTGGAGATATTCAGGCTTTAATGCCATTTGATCTCAACCGTTGATTTGTCAACTGATTTGACGGTTTACAATAAACGTTTATAGTGAACTAAAAGCGTAACCCTATTTCCGTTTCCTCATCTTGAAAAGATATATGTTAGAAAGATGTTAATTTATTTATCTTTGTATAAATATCTTTAAGATAAGTTTTATGATTAAACATTTAGTTGCTAGAAATTTAGACCTTAATAAGGTTCATTTAACTTCTGGTACCTTGTATTTAATGTTTTAAAAATTAGGTTTTTGGTTGAATCAAAATGGTGATCAATCTTTTATCCATCTAGTTCGACCAATCGGTCAACCTACTTGTATATCACAGCTTCAAACATTAAAAATAGACATAAAATTATAGATCATTCCAAATGCAATAAAATAAGGATCCTACTAATTGTACCGTAGATTTACTTATAAGACCTCCTGTAATTATGGTTGTTTAGTCAATTTTCAATATTTGAAAAATTAAACTTTGATTTTGAAAATTTAATATTTTCAGCTTTTTTACACCATTGATATCTACAAATATCAAACATTGAAAACTATATACTCTTAATTTATGATTAATTTTCAACTAATCCAACAACAACACATCTAATATAAAATCAAAATACTGTAAACAAACAACAACAACAACTTCTCATATTAACAAAAGGTAAAATGAAAATTAATGTAAATATATTTTAACACCTCCAGTGAACACCACCACCTCCGGTCCCACCACCGGTGTTCCAGCCGTTAATGAATGTGTGAGAGAGAGAACGGAAAATGAAAGTGTGTGAGAGAGAGAGAGAGGGAGAGAGAAACCATTTGGTGGTGGTGTTCTTCGACCGTCATTCTCTTTGCCGGAGATGAGGGGCGATGATAGTGGCTTCCCTTCGACCGCCAGCTTCCTTCAACCTCCATTCCTTCGCCGCCCACTGCCACTTCCTTCGACCGCCCACTAGCCTTGCATCTCACCACCGAACCCACTGGAAACGAAGGCCATTTATCTTCCCTTCCTCTTCTGCATCGACGACCACTGACGTCTTCCCTTCCTCTTCTACGGTCGAAGGTAGCCACCAATGATGCTCCCTTTGCAGGTGTTGCTGTCGGGTGTTGTTGCGATGGAGCTGATCTTGAGGATGAGAGATTTGGCTCGATCTTGAAGATGGCAGCCATATAAGAAATTTAGTATTTTAGGGTTTTTTTTTTTTAATTTATATGTTGGTTTAGGGTTTTAAAAGTATTGGGTTGGGTTTAAAAAATTGGGCTTTTTTAAAAACGAAAATTGGTTTTTTTTTTTCTTAAAAAAATAATTCTTTTTATATAAAGTTTATTTTAATAAACCTTTTTAGTATTAAAATTTTTTAAAATATTTATTTTTATTTGCTTTTAATTTTTTTTATTTTTTCAATATTTTAATTACTTATCTGATGTTTTTTTTTTTTTTTTTTTTTTTTTTTTTTTTTTAGAGATGTTTAAGTTTTTAGGAATCAACTTGTCGGCTAGAGATAAAGATTTTTCTACAAAAACTTTGGCATTTTCCACCAGTCAGTTTATATAATTATATCAATTACGATGCTTTCAGATACAATATATGTACTAACTCACTTGAAATTTGATTGCAGAAGTTCAAGTCTTGTGAGGAATTATTAGAGTGGACACAAAACACTGCACGTTCTTTAGGATATGTCATTGTTACTAGAAGATCAAAGGCATATGCGAACGGCTTCGTGCATACAGTCATACTTATATGTGATCGTGGTAGAGAGTATAAACCTAAAGAGTATACAAGTAGAGCATTTGGAAGCAAAAAGACTAATTGTCAACTTCAATTGGAAGGAAAGTATTCAAAAGAACGTGATAAATGGACGCTAAGGGTAATATGTGATGAACATAATCATCCATCGGCACAACATATGGAAGGTCATCCATTTGCAAGATGGTTATCAGTCGACGAGACTCGTTTGGTGGCTAATTTAACAAGAAAGAACGTGGCGCCACGTGACATCCTATCAGCATTGAAGGTTCAAAAAGAAAACAATGTGTCGACAATTAAAACAATATACAATGCACAACAAAAGATTCGGATGCACGAGCAAGCAGGAAGAACTCCAATGCAGGTTCTTATGTCCCTTTTACACACCAATGATTATGTCTATGAGTTTACTACAGGCGATTCAAATGAGTTAGAAAATTTATTCTTCGTTCATCCAACGTCTTGGAAGATATGGCGTGCATTTCCACATGTGTTGATGATAGATGCCACGTATAAAACCAACAAATATAACAAGCCGTTGGTGCAAACTGTTGGTGTTACATCAACTCAAAAGACATTCTCTATAGGCTTTGCCTTTATACATAGAGAAAAGGAGGCCAACTATACTTGGGTGTTAAATTGTCTAAATTTGACGCTTGATACGTGTATGCACCCACGTGTAATAATCACAGACAGAGAGTTGGCACTCATCAAGGCATGTGAAACAATTTTTCCTGATGCTGCCCGATTACTTTGTAGATGGCATATTGAACAAAACATTTTGAAGCATTACAATAAAAGTATCACGTTGGAAGCTGATCGACGCTCTTTTAGATCATTATGGAACTTACTAATTGATTCTCCAACATTGATGGATTACACGAAAAACTACATGCGACTTCAATCAATGTTGATAAAATATCCACGTAAGCTTGTTTTTTAGCTATATTTATAAATCATAACCTTCATATTATTATTTATTTACGTATTTGTTAACTATATTTCTAAATCACAACATTCAGGTGTTTTGAAATACATAGAAGATACTTGGTTGAACAACTACAAAGAAATGTTTGTACCTGTTTGGATTGATCAACATCTTAATTTTGGAAACAACACAACCAATAGAGTCGAGAGTGCACATGCCAATTTAAAGAGATTTTTGGACTCTGCAAGTTCTAATCTCGATATATTTGTGCAACGAATTAATGAAATTGTGCAATCACAACTCACTTCAATCAATGAAAGCTTTGAAAAAAGCTTAATTTTCTGATATAAGCATCACAATTTGTATTGCTTCGGGTTACTAAGAGGTTCTGTTTCAAACGAAGCTCTTTATATAATAGTAGGAGAGCTCCAAAGGTTAAATGTGTCAAAGTTAGACTCCTCAAATTGTGGTTGCAAACTCCGTACCAGTTGTGGGTTACCATGTGCTTGCATGCTTTCTGTTTACTTAAGCTCAGGTTAGTATGTTCAATTACAACATATATAAATTTTTAAATATTACAAAAATATTTATTTTGTATTTTAATACAAGTGAAGAAATACCCTTGGATTTAATAGATATCTTTTGGAGAAAGCTTAGTATTTCTGATACGAAGCCTGAAAAAAAAAAAAAGGCAATATTTGTTGCGATGATGAAGTTGTAAAGTATAAAGAAAATTTCAACAAGCAGACAAAAGTAGGAAAAAAAATTATTTGAAAAAACTAAAAGAGATATACGATCCGCGCACAATTGATGTTGGAGAACCCACAGTTCAAAATAAGACCCGCGGACGGCCGAGTATGAAGAAACAACATAAAAAGAATGTCAACCCTCCAAATCAAGCTCCTACTAGATGCAACGACTCTACCACATCAGAGTTCATTGGGTTGGATTTAAATAAAGAACCTGAAAGGCATAATTATTCATACGACATTGACTTAAATGAAGAACCACGAATGCATGATCCATTCCTAATGAAGAGTATTCCTGATGTATTTCATGATTACATCGACAAGATACAAGATGTACTCAGTGATGGAAACTGTGGGTTTCGAGCGGTAGCTGTTAGTCTAGGGCACAGTGAAGACCAATGGCTATACATTAGGCAACAATTGCTTGAAGAGTTAGAAAGTCAATTTTATGCATACCAACAAGTTTTACTGATGGGTTCAATGAGGTATACGAGTCTTTGTGTTGGTTCGAGTCACCTGTATATTTGCGACATTGGATGATTATGCCTTTGATTGGTTACTTGATTGCCAACAAGTTTGGTGTGAGTGTTCATTGTCTAAGCCATGAACAATCTACAACCTGCTTCCCTCTTTGGAGAGGTCCTGAAGAGTTTCAATCTCACCGAAACATTACAGTGGCACTTGTAGGCAGACATTATATTTCGGTGTCTTTAAAAGGAAATTACCCAATGCCTCCAACCACAACATATTGGAATGCTCATAAAAGCTCGTCTGCATCTTTATGGCAAACTATGTATTGGTCGCGTTTCGAATTATACAACCAACATAGGCATCGTAGTTCTAAAATACCTTGGATACATATCAAGGATTAAGTATGAATGTAATTGAACTCTTTTGATATGTATTGCTTTCAAAATTTTGTTTTATTATTAGTATGTCATATTTGTAGTCTTTTGTTATAATATTTTAAAATAAAACAATTTTAATAAATTACATATAAATAACCTAAAAAATATATATAAAAAAAATATATTTAGCCTATTTTATTTTGCAAGTTTAATAACCTAAAAAATATATAAAAAATTATATTTTACCTATTTTATTTTGAAAGTTTAAAAAAAATATATTTAACATATTTTATTTTGCAAGTTTAAAAAAGATTATTAAAATACTTTGACTTAATAATTATAAATAAAAGACATAAAATTATTATGTAATGATGATTATTAAAAGATAATTATTAGTATAATAATTTATTTATTTGAGGAAAAAAGTAAGGTAATGATTAGGAGGGTCCTTTAAGACTAATAAATGGTCTAATTAGATGGACCCTAAAATAAACACAAAAATAAAAGTTTTCCTTCATATACATAAAAAAATTGAAAAATTAAATATCTTCTTAACAATTAAATGATGACATGTGTCATATTAGTATACCAAAATATCATTAAATTTCATTAAAGGAACATTAAATGTTACACATGTCACCGTTTAATTGAACAGAAGGATTTGTAGGAATAAAAAATAGATATTTAATTTCTCTAAAAAATTATACTACTAAAACAAAATGTAGTTTGAGATTAATACAAATGCATCAAAAAGCCTCATAATATTTACTAGTTTTAATAACAAACTATACCACTTCATATATTGTGAAAAAAAAAACTTATCAAAGATGCATGAGACTTCTTTGTTATTTTGAAGGTCTACAAAGTTGGTCTATATCAATATAGAAATCAAGTTAAACTTTATCAAATTATTTCATATTAAAAAGATTCTTATATTCATTTTTTGGAATTGCAAAGAATAAATATGAAACTTGTTATCAATCAAAAGATATACATAATATAAGCGAATATATTTGACTATTTTTTAAAGCTCTTATATGTTTTATGTTTTCTTTTTACATATATATTATTTTAACAAGTGTAAATAAAATTGGCATCACTATAAAGTATATTTATAACATTATCACATAAAAATGTTAACCTCCATGTCATATAATCAACATTTCCCACAACCTAGGCTATATGTTATAGTGGTAATGCCTAGGACGTGGTGTTGATTTGACCCCCTCGACACTGTGTACACACCACCTCCAATGATGTGGTTTTGGTGTAGTGGTCGATGATGTAGACAGGAGTACCATTGGCAAAACCATCTCACACAATTTTTTCTTTTCACCCCATGCTCATATGGTCTTCCTTTTTTTCAAAAACCTTCACGACACATATTCAATCGTGTATATAGGTGTAGAGTCTCAGTTTATTACAACTTTACTATAGTACTTCTGACATACAAACTTTGTGCTTCTTGATAAAAAAAATGGTGAACACTCGAATTGATTATTATAACCCTCTTATAAATCAAAGTTTAAAATACCATTTATACTCTTCATAAAATTTTAAAATATCATATTTATCCAAATTAAAAAAAAACTATATTTAATCGCATTTGTGTTGTAGGATGTTTTCCATCATGCAAGTTAGATACCACCTCAGTTTCATCGCATATTGTCATTCTTGCAATGATGTTCCACCTAGGGATGGAAATGGGGCGGGTTTGGGGTGGGGTTGACCATCCTTGTCCCCATCCCCGAGTGTCTAACCTTTTTCCCATCTCGACGGATGTGGTGAATTAAATCCCCTCCCCTTTGTATTTTGGGCTTTTCCGCAGTCCTTCCCCGAACCATCCACAATCTATCAACATAATAAACTTAACTTACAAAAAAAAAAAAAAAAAAAAAAAAAAAAAAAAAAAAAAAACGATGAAAACCAGATGCAATATTCAGATTTTGTTAACATCAATTATAAAGTTTAACAAACATCAAAACGAAAAGTGATGATTCGGTATACAAATCATCAAACGAAGTGACGATTGACGAACTCTTGGAATTGGGAACACAATTTGATATACAAACTCTATCTAAGATAGTCTAATATAGATCAATTCATTTTAGTTGACTTAATTCAAATTTAATAAATGATCGATATGTATAGTCATTAAAACGGGGGCAAGGCGGGTTGGGGATTGTTATACCCGACCCCATCCCCAGTTTTAGCATAATGGGAATCCCTGGCCCCATACCTGGTACTCATTTTGGCGGGGAATAACCATCCCAGATTGGGGCGGATCAATTGGATTCCCTACCGGTCAGGTGAAATTTTCATCCCTAGTTCCACCAACAATATGAAAACAAAGACATGTGTGGCTCATGCTACACAGATATTAGTTGCCCAAACGAGGAAATCAATAAAAGTATGTTTGGTATTTAATTGGAATTTAAATAATAATAATAATAATAATAATAATAATAATAATAATATATTAAAAAAAAAAAAAAACTTGATTTTGATCAATGAAAATGATTATTTGAATGAATTCATGCGTGTCTCATTATAACAACTTTTTATATTGTTTGAACTTTGAACTCATAAAAGCATTACGAACTATGGATCTTTCATTATCTCTGAGCTCATAAATAAGTGTCAACTCGTGAACTACAGAAATCTTTTTTTTTTTTTTAGATGATAAACATAATTAACAAACAATCAAAAAATTTTAATTACGTATAATAAAATGAGACTGAACCCTAATTGAGAATATCTTACAAATTGTAACCCATTCGACCAAGCAATCAACAAACTAATCGTGAACCAAATGATGCTATAATATCAATATCTCACAAATTACATAAAAACTTTTTATATTTTGCAAATTACAATAATTATTAAAGATATACACATTGCATCTACAACATTTTTGCATGACTAGCCAAAGTACATGTCTCCAATACGAAGGCTGAGGGCAAAATTGACCAAATCGTACAACTCATGAGATGGGCAGAGCATGTATAAATTTGAGGTTGAGGGCAAAATTGTCATTTTGCCTATTGTCATAATAATCCAATGAAGATAGTGGACTCATATTAGTATATGTTTCAAGAACAAGATAGAATTTGAATAGGTGATACAACAGATCAAAGAAATTTGGGTTGAAATGAAGTAATAAACCTTTTGTATCAATCATCATATGAAGAATGTGGAGAAGCAGTGCAGCCAATGTCAAAAGGATCTTCAGATCCACAGCAATGCCAATACTGGAACACTTTACCAGATTCAGGCGTATTCATGGTGCCTCCACTATACACACTCTCGAATTTCCTCTTGGTTTCTCCTGAAGATTCAAGAAACTAGTCACAATCGCAGTTCTGAGATTAACAAAAACTGTAACATGAACAAATTTCACCCCTTTCGAGTTTCAACACGTACAATTTACAGGAAAAATGACATCTTCAAATGTAAAACATTAGAAAGTATAACACAGTTCAGTTTATTAATGGTGTCGAAAAACGGAAAAACAGATTGATTACCGCCAAAATGCGCAGTGTGAAAACGACACGCTTGGGGATGATTGAGAGAAGGATCGAATTGTGTTTTACATTGCTTACAAGTTCTCAAGCTCACCGGTTTTGTTTCTTCTACCGAACATTGAATCGAGTATCTTTTGATACTCCGATGAATTCGCAGTTGCGAATTCTGCGTTGACAATTCAGCTAAGGAAGGAAAGTGATGAAGTCTTAAGGAATTCTGATGAACGAAGGAAGCATGTAGTGGCACGATTGACGAGTTTATTGAACAGATTTGCATCGTAATTACCGATTCCAGTTTCAAGAACTATGAATGGTCTAGGGTTTTGATGTGATTAAATTCATATAATTTGGGGAAACTATAACTGGACAAACGATGGGTCCTTACTCCTTATAGCTTGGCAAAATGGACCCTTTTAGATTTATTATTTTCAAAATGATGCTCTTCTTTTTTGCTACATTCACTTAGGAGTCTTTACTAAAATTAGTATTCAAGTTCATATACTTCATACCCATATAGTTGAATATTTCCTTAACAACAATATTACACCGTTAAGTTTAAGTTATTTTAAGCTCACCATGGTTCTCATTTCAACGTAATTTTAAACATAAATAATGATTTTTTTTTCTATGTTTAGAGTGAATTACAATTGTTATTTCTTTATAAGTTTTAAGTTGAAATTTGAAAATTACTAATTATTTTATACACCATGCATGAATTGTTTTAGAATGATGAGATGAATTGGTAGTTGGGACCTTAGAGCATACATAATAAGGGAGCTTTTTCAATATATTTTTTGCTGTAGCATTATCGATATACCAATAAACAAAAAAGTTTAACAACCATCAAGATCGCACATGGCCTAGTGGTAATCATTTGGTATGAAATACTTTAAAATGAAGTTGACCCAAGTTTCAATATCATAGTCTTCAACCTTTAGGTGACCCATCGTTAAAAAACGTTTAACAAGCATCCATAATAGGGGAGCTGATATGGGTCTCGAGTCGTACCTAAGACTGCATTTGTGGTTGGATCTACCATTGAATACCAAATCAATTAAATGTCAATGCGACATCTCAGTAATATAACATTTAATCCATTTAATAATAAATAGATTTGTCATCTCATTCAACTCTATTATTGAACTTACAAATTACTGTTATGGATGTTTTAATAAGCTATTAGAAAAGCTCATATTTTATTTTGATGCATGTATCCCAAGATGTTAGTTGTCTGATTAACTTCCTATATAGACATAATAATATATAAAATTTAAATGTGAGAATATAATATCATATTTCTCTTGGGTTTATAGCAAAAACTATGAGGTCTTTATAAGCATTTAAGTATGTCCTTATGATAATTTATCCTTATGGGTTTTCGCTTATTGGTTCATCGAATGACGTTATTATTATGATTTATGCGTATTATAAATAAGTGTTAATGAAAGATGATTTTCTTTGAAAAAAATGTATTTTATGTCATAAGTTTGGTTATATTCATATTTTTTTTTTTTTGTAATTTAACTCATTCGTTGTATTTCAGTTTGATCTATAGTTTAAGAGATATTAACTTGCTTGTATTTCTTTGGTTTTAATTTTACAATTTACAAATTTTTATATCATTCAAGGCGAAAAAATATTGGTTAAACCGACTTTAAATATAAATTCTTTAGTCTTATTCATTTTATCATTTACATAATTACTCTTCATTGTCTACTTTTTTTGTAGCTTTATTCAACAGAAAACCCTGTAATCATGCCTTAATTTATCATATACATAAGATATGTAAGCTTTTGTGATATCGTAATACATTTAGGTACTTAAAGGTCCTCATAAGCAATAAACTTAGAAACAAGGATGTAAGCATGACTACAAAGTTTAACATGGGAATTTCCTGAAAGCCAAAGGACTATTTTTGTAATTATTCTAAAACAAGCAACGAATACCGTGATTCAAACACGGATGCATCTGTTCTTAATCCCAAATAGATTCTCTAGGGCTCCAATTTGTGATCGTTCTACTTCAATCAAACAGTGTAATTGGTTGAATAAGATTCAATAAATGGCAAATAGCAACAAGCGAGATGAACCCTTAACAGCTCCACCGGTCGATCGATGGTTTGACCTAACCCTAGGTTCCTCTTTTCAAGACAATCCTTCCTCCAAATTCTGCACTCTTCGCTGTAAGTATATGTATCTGTTTTCTCTACGTGCTATTTGCAATAAAATTTGATCTCTTTGACAGATTATTCAACTTCTTTATGCATCTAGTATGATTTTCTGTAATACAGTGTTAAATTGTTCGCTGAAATTTAATTAACAATCTACGAATTTCGAATGTAATGTTTATCTTCAAGCAATTGAGTATTTCAGATGAATTTAAGCCAGCATCTATCGATAAAAACCAACCTGGGAAATTGCACAAAACCAAAGATAACAAGGTCGCTGTTGAATTCCAGAACAATCTCCCAGGAAAACCCAAAGTGAGCTTTGAAGGTAGCAGCGAAGATTACAAAGACAACGATGCAGTTTTGTTCTTCGATGGAACTAGTTTTAGGTTAGAAAGACTTCACAGATCAGTTAAGCGATTGCGACATGTCCGCCAACCTGGCGAGTCTGCAGCAGTGGCTGCCGCCACTTTACCACCACCTGAAGCCAGTTCACCACCACTTGGAAAGGGATCAAAACCTCAATCTTCAAACAAGAACTTACTTCCTCCATCAGTAAGTTATTCTTTCAATTCTGATTTTCACTTCACACATTTAACCATAAAAATCTGATCTTGATTCTTGATTCTTGATTTCACACTTGAACAGGTTGAAGTTGAAAGAATTGAAATTGGCAACTTTAAAGGCTTTGGTATGTTCTTATTTCTCATTTTTTACTGTTTACCACAATCATAACAAGAATCTTTTTTGAAATCCCAGATGGGAAACCCCGAGAAGAAAAAGTTGTTGAAGATCCATTCAACCCATCAAATTCTCTCTACACATCACCAGATACCAAAAACGATGATGACCTGGACGAACAGCTGGACATACTCAATGATGACGAGGAAGAAATCGACATCAACATAGAAACAGAAACAGAACCCGAAAGGCAACAACAAGCATTCACTGGAATTGACATCAACATTCCTCATCAAAACGAAAGTGATGATGAAATTGCAGAAGTTGATGTTAGTGATGATGAAGGGGATGAAGGTCTTAATGCTGCAGAAGCACTTAGAGCACAAGTGAATGCTGAGGAAAGAAAAGAAGGGTCGTCGAGTGAGAGTGGGAGTAGTAGTAGTAGTAGTGGAAGTGGCAGTGGGAGTAGCAGTAGCAGTGACAGTGACAGCAGTGATGGTGATGGTGACTCTGTAAACTCTATTTAAGAAGTTTTTATGTTTTCGGGTTTTGTAAGTTGAGTAAAAGTGTTGGCAAGATTGTTGTATGCCATATAAGCTAAAAAGTTGAAAAAAAGTTAAATGGTAATTGGTTATGGAATATTTAGGCTAAAAATTGCAATAATTGGTAAAAACTAAATAAAAGTCTTCAAGGAGATGAGATTTTAGATTACTTTTTGTAAGGTTATATTATGATAGGATGAAAACACTTTGATTATTACCTTGATTCCGAACAATTTTCTTGTATGGTAACGTTTTCATGTTAAATATTCGGTTATTAGTATTTGAATTTGTGCTTTATTGCTATTTCAATTAAGATATTGTTAAATATTTGGTTAATAGTATTTGAATTTCTGCTGTATTGCTATTTCAATTAAGATATTGTAGTACCAATTCACTTATCGTTCCAAGTTCAAATAGTGTAGTAATTAAGATAGTTAAATAAAACATACGATATTCCTAATTTGTAATATCGAATGTCTAACATTGCAATGGTGTAATAATGGGAATTGATTCGTAAATAGGTTTTTCTTTATAAACAAAAATTTATGCTTTAAAATATTGTATTTTACAACCTTATAAAACATAAATTATTGTGTAAATAGAAAAATTGTTATGTATGAATCACTAGCCTTTTTAATAATAAGATAGATTATTGTCAAACATAATTCAATAAACATAGGGACCAAGAGAGTATTTGGAGGGTGTTTGGGAATTTTTTTAGAACTTTTAGCTTTTTCCAAAAAGCTAAAAGTTAAAAAAAGATGTTTGGGTATTTAGGAAGTTTTTTTTAAAACAACTTTTAGGCAAGAATAAAAATAACCTTTTGAAAAGTCATGAATTTATAACTTTTTTCAACTTTTGGGTTTTTAGCTTTTAGAAAATCAAACATATTTTAAAACTATCTTTTGTAAAAAACCAAAAAATCAAAAATGATTTTTATCAAAAAGACCTTTTTAGCATTAAAAGTAATCCCAAACATCCATTGGATCGCTATATTGTATGCCCAGATTTATAATTAACTTTAATTATGTCCATGTCCATGTAATTAAGTTGGATCCTAGATTTCTAGGTGGAGTTACGCGTGGTAGTTTTAATCATCTAAACAATCGAACCAAAAACGATTATATTTCCTCATGATAACCCCATCTTGTTTTTTTTCTTTGAGATTACAAAACTTTCTAACATTTTGTTAACTTTAATTTACAATTGTTTGGTGACATATTTGCAATTTGTAATTTAGCTAATTGATTATATCAAACACATTATTCATCCATAAATTCCTAGTGGGTTCGACTCGACTTACCCTACTACCTAGGTCGAGTTGGTTTATGTTTTTATCATATTGACAAATGTCGAGTTGGTTTATGTTTTTATCATATTGACAAATGTCCATCATAGTCATGGTGCTAAATGTTTTCTAATATTTGGTATGGTGTTATTGTATTTGTTTAATGGAGGGGAATATCTTGTTAGAGTTTGATGCAATGAGACAGGAGGGTTGATCATCATACTATCCATCTTCGATCGATGAGGTTGAATTCCTATAAAAAAGCGACAATGGATGCATTAATGCAAGCAATGTGTCAACAATTTAGTGCACAATCTCAAGAGATACAAGAGAGTCTAAATCAGTTGTTTTTTGGCTCAAAATCCTATATACCAATAACTATCATCAATGCAATTCCACTAGGATCTAATGCAAATCTTATACGATCTGTCCCAACAAGAAGATGACGAGGAAGGTTCTAATTGGCTATATTTATAGTTTGATATTAAAATTTGAACGATTTTCTAATAACTTTTTTTTGGTATTATAAAAGTTGAATGTTTTTTAATTAAATTTAAATGTTTTGTATTAGAGATACATAGTTTTTAGATTTATGGTCATGAAATAAGGAAATATGAATTTATTTCTATTATATTTTGGAAAAAGAAAACTAGAAACGAACAAAAAATAAAAATATAGAACAAATAATTGGATATAGAGACGGCAGGTCGCCGTTATAGGTATTTATTTATTTATTTATTTTGAATATTAGTAGATATATAGATGTTGATTGATGTGGAATTGTTAAGCGGTAGAAGGTTATCCATAGGGACAAATGTATTGATGACGAAATTTGAGCTATAACTACGGAGGAACAAAGCGAACCCTTAGCAATGACATGTCATGTCCAAGGGGGGGGGGGGTGTAGCGCCGAATTATGTCATCGTCAAAAGTTGGTTCTTTTGTAACAGATGTTGACAATCACACCTCTTAGTAGGGGGAGTAAGAGTAGGGGTACAAAGACTATATCAAATCGATGATCTCCAACATATTTATATGTGTATGTGTAAAAAGGCATAAAGAAGGGGTTGAGTAAGTTGGTGCAACAATAGAGCATATACACACATAAAAAAGAGGATACAAGCGAGTAGAAAAGAGATAGTAACTATAAACTTCAAAATAAAACATGTAAAAATGTAAGCGGGATGCCCGTCGATCCAGTTAAGATACTTAGGAGGCCTTAAAATGCTTCTTGAATTTGAAAATATAGCAGAAAAGGAAAAGTTTTTGAACGAAGGACGGGAGATCTGGCAACCTTGGTTCAAAACGATATCAGCCTGGGAAGAGGGTATAAATTTCAATGAAAGAATCGCATCCCTAATTATTCAAGGTGTGCCTCAACATGCATAGTGCGAAGAGACCTTTAGTATCATTGCAAACTCGTGGGGGTCAGTGGTCATTCCAGAAGAATGCAACACAAGCTCTCCTAATCTGGCATTCGGAAGGGTCGGGATACTTACATCACACCCCGGAATCATTAGTTCCTCCATCAAAATCTTGGTGGATGGGAAGCCATTCCAAATAAATATCTTGGAAGACATTTTCGAATCCCGCAAACTCAGTCCGGTGCTTGCTGCCAATGATTTCTACCAGAAAATGTCATGGTGGGATGAAGATAGTATTGGAGAAAATGGCAGCTTCAACAGTGATGCCCCTGCTCTCCACGAGGTTGGCTTAATGTCACCGGAAGCATCTCCGGCGAAAGACCAGCAGTCACATGATAGGGAATATGAAAAGTCGCAAGCAAATATTCCAGGCTCGGGAACCAATGCGTCTCCTCGTCTCCATAACACCTTGGAACTCCCGCGTGAAGAATTTACGTCATCTGATGCAGGTAGCGACACGGCGGGTGTGCTCTCCCCTTTGGGCCAAAATAGAATGCGGGCTTCCCCCTCTCCTGTAATCAAAATACATCGGCCCACTCGCTCCTTGGACCTAAACAGGGCCCCATCTCGGTCTTTCCCATCCGTATCCAATGACCAGTTTAGGTTCCATTCCCTTAGGCCTCTCTCTCCGTCGAGGTCTCGCCCTCATACTCCCTCATCTCCGTCTAGAATTCCCCCTTCCTTCTCCCACCCCATCGGCGACGCCCATCAATTACAAGGAACCTCGACCAGGTCTCTTCAGGTGCCCCACCAATCAACCTCGCAGGCCATAACCGCTGAGTCAAATGCCACTTCCTGGGAGGTCGCCAAAACAATCACAGTGGGTGAATCTGTTGGTTTCCAGGTTAGTAACCAAGCTGATCAAATCAAGCAGATGATCAAAACTCGAGGAGTGACGATTATCAATCAATGAATATTTTCTCCAACAATATTCGTGGAATTGGGTGTGAAATAAAGAGGAGCTGGCTTAGAGACTGTCGCATCAAGCATCACTCTTTTTTTGTTGGGTTACAGGAAACGAAGTCCTCAGAGGTGAAGAACAAACTAGACAGTCAAATTTGGGGCTCTCCAAACTTCCAGTGCGAGGTTATTGACCCGGTGGGGTTATCTGGTGGAATAGCTTCCATATGGGACCCCTCCTTTTTCCAGGTTTCTGAATCAATAAAAGGTGTCGGCTTTCTTGCCATAAAAGGAATTTGGCTTAGGCTAAGAAAAAATTGTTGTCTTGTAAACGTGTACGCCCCTCAAGATCCTTTGAGGAAGAGAACCTTGTGGAACAATTTATTTGATCTCATCAATTCAGACCTAGACTCCTGTTGGTTTGTCTTTGGACATTTCAATGCCGTTCGCCTGCCGGAAGAAAGACTCGGTTCCACATTCTGTCATAATAGCGCCTTTTATTTCAATGAATTCATACATTCTATAGGTCTGATGGAGATTAAAATGGGGGGTCGACGATTTACGTATATGAACTCAGCAGGGGATAAACATAGCAAGCTAGACAGATTCATTGTCTCTCTAAATGCTATCGAGACCTGGCCAACTCTAAATGTTACAGCCATGCCTAGGGTGCATTCCGACCATTGCGCTATCTTGCTATCTGCTTCCCAACTTGACTTTGGCCCAACCCCATTCAAGCTCTATAATTCCTGGCTTAAAGACCCAGAGTTAGTGGGTATCGTAAGGCGGGGATGGTGTATCAACAGCAATCCAAGCCATCTGGTTTTTCGTTCTCCCCTCTCCATGGTTGCAGGAAAATTGCGGAATTTAAAGGAGCACATTAAAGCTTGGAGGAAGGAAGTTTCCGAGAAAGCCAGAAAAGAGATGGATGAGCTTACAAACAGAATAAACGTCATCGACCAATTGGCCGAGCAGGGCCTAATTAACAAAGATCTCCTTTTAAGCCGACAGTCCGCATACCAAAAAATTATGGAAATTGAATCTAGGCGTATCGAGGATCTAAAACAAAAATCTAGAACCACTTGGGCCCTAGAAGGTGATGAGAATAGTGCTTTCTTCCATGGTGTGATAAACAAGCACCAGAGATCCCAAAGGATTAATGGAATCAAGGATAACGGATTCTGGATAAGCGACCCCGTTGCAATAAAAGAGCTGACTGTTAATCATTTTGCCAGGAGATTCGCTGAGCCTCTCAAGCAGCGCCCTAAACTCCTCAGCCCTCAGTTTAAGAAATTACCCCCCTACGCGAGCTCGTTCTTAGAAGAGCCTATCTCTCTCGATGAAGTGAAATCAGCCATTTGGGCTTGTGGCTCGGACCGGGCACCAGGCCCTGATGGTTTCACCTTTGCTTTCTTAAAACAATATTGGGAGGAGTTTGGGGTGGATCTATACCTAGTAGTGAAACACTTTGAAGCTTCGGGGCAATTCGAGAAAGGCTGCAACTCTTCCTTTATTATCCTTGTCCCTAAGATTCAAGACCCGATCACAATAAATGACTTCCGCCCAATTAGTTTAATTGGATGCATGTATAAAATAATCTCAAATGTCCTAGCTGAAAGACTAAAAAAGGTGGTACACTTGGTGGTCAGCTCAACACAGTCGACATTCATTAAAAATCGGAATATTCTCGATGGGCCCTTTATCTTGAACGAGGTCATAAGCTGGGTTAAGAGGAATAAAAAGAAAGCTTTCACTTTCAAAGTAGACTTTGAAAAAGCCTTCGACAGTCTTAGCTGGGAGTTCCTTGACTCATTCATGCTGCAAATGGATTTTGGAGAAAAATGGCGTTCATGGATTCGAGGTTGTTTATCGTCGGCTAGGGTCTCGGTAATTATAAACGGATCAGCAACATCAGAATTTGCCATGGAGCGTGGGCTTCGTCAGGGAGACCCACTATCCCCGTTTTTGTTCATCATTGCAGCGGAAGGTCTTCATGTTGCAATGGAAGCGGCGAAGGAAAAAGGCTTATTTAGAGGTATCCAACTCCCCCGCCAAGGCCCAGTAATTTCCCACCTCCTTTACGCCGATGATGTGATATTTATGGGTTCATGGTCGCTGGAAAACACAAAAAACTTGATAAGGATCCTAAGATGTTTTGAGTTGTCCTCAGGACTCAAGATAAACATGGCGAAAAGTAAATTGTATGGTCTTGGTGTACAAAGTTCCGAGTTGGAGCTGGTGGCTCGCTCTTTCAATTGTAAAATTGACACTTTTCCTTTCATTTATTTAGGACTTCCAGTTGGTGCTTCGATGGCAAGGGTAGCCCAATGGAAACCTATCATTGAAAGATTTCAGGCAAAGTAATCTAGATGGAAAGCTTCCACACTTTCGTTTGGAGGACGGTTGACCTTAATCAAAGCAGTCTTAAGCAGCCTGGGTACATTCTACTTCTCAATTTATAAGGCCCCTGCTAGGGTAATTGATAGCCTTGAAAGGATTCGGAAGAGGTTTTTCTGGGGCGGCTCCATGGAATCAAGAAAAATGATCTGGATTGCTTGGGAAAAAACCCTCGCAGCTAAGGAAAGAGGCGGATTGGGTATTGGTAGTTTGAGGGCGCAAAATCTCGCCCGACTTGGAAAATGGTGGTGGCGTTTCAGGACTCATCCTGACAGTACATGGGCTTTGGTGATAAAAGCCATCCATGGACCTGATGGTGGTCTTTCCCGCCCTTTGGCTGCAAAAAGGAGAAGTGGCTGCTGGGGGTCAATAGCCTGCCTCCCTCTATCTTTAGAAAAAGATCAGGTTCCTTTCTTGAATCACCTCCGGCAAGTACAAAATGTTGACGGCTCAAGAAAATGGACATGGTCTCTTGAATCCTCGGGGGTATATACGGTTTCTTCTATGCGCTCTCTCATCGACAATATGGTCCTCCCCCACAGTGGCAAAATATGGAAGTGGAATCCTTTAGTCCCGGGTAAGGGTGAACATCCTAGCTTGGCGAGTCTATCATGGGAAACTTCCATGTATGCTGAACCTTTTCAATCTTGGCATTAGCTCTTCAAACATGTGTAAGATGTGTCAAGTATCTCCTGAATCAGAAGATCACATCTTTGTGGGTTGTCCTATCTCAAGTGAAGTCTGGTCGCATGTGCGTAGATGGTGGCGAACATTAGATACTTCCCCTAACTCCTGTCGGGAGATGCTGGAATGTAAAAATCGACGTAATGGACACCATAGTCTGCAGGAGATCCACGAAGCTATAGTGCTAGTCTTCATGTGGGTAATTTGGAGATTCAGGAATAGTAAGGCACATGCTACAAACTCAAACTCAAACTCAAGCTTAATCTCAAAATCGATGCTGGTGTATGAGGTACAAGCCTATTCTCACTTATGGATCAATGCAAGGAAGAGGAGAGGGCAAAAGATACGATGGATTGAATGGTGCTGCGACCCAATTCTAGAATGTTGTCATAGATCGTGATTCTGTTGTCCTTTTGTTTGTTTCTATCTTTCATTTTCTGTTTTAATCTGATTATACCTCCTAGCCCCTGGCTAGTTTTTTTCTAATATATGCCTACCGTTCAAAAAAAAAATGAGACTTAGACTACTCCACTACCATAATATTTACCCTCCATACCCTTTTATAGGAGGTTAATTCCTTAGAAAGAATCAACTTTTTCATGGTCTTATGTTTCCTCGTACGTCAACTGTAACTAATTCTGCCCTCCAAATTTTCATCGACGGTGCCTCCTTTGGACATCTCAATCTTTCCTTCATTCAAAAATTTTGGTGGACGATGCCATTCACAACGAAGTTTTGATTGTTGTGTTCAGGATCTTATCCAATAAATTTCTATCATCTTGATAATTTATTTATGTTACTTTATTTTCTCCTCATGCTCTTTATTTGACCCGCATTGAGATTCATATATCATAATCAACCTAATAATTACTTTGTAAAATTTTCCCTTTAGTTTCAACGAGAAATTTTTGTTACACAAGATTCGTGATGCTTCTCTCCAATGGGTATATTGGGTTATTACCAAAATGCTTCTAAATTCTATCCTATAATGCTTGAATTACTAATTTACTACCATGGTGGAAGCGGTGGAATGTAAAATTATATTTTCAAGTGTATATTTTAAATTTTTTATTAAGTAAGTTAATCAGTACACAATTTATAGGCTTGATGGCTGATACAACAATTTCACCATCTTTAGAAGGGATAATCTTGGTGTGAAACTTATTGATTACAATTATGCATCTTGTAAATTTGCAGGTTCAACTTGTGCCTTTTTTGCACAAGGAATTCGAGTAACAAGGGACAAAAAAACTAAACTAGAAAATGGAGAAGAAGAACATGAGAAAATCACTTGGTGATATAGGCTCCTTGTTGATAAACAAAGGATATGTATCGGAGAACTAAAACATAAAACATTGGTCCTATTTATACAAAAAAAATTAGAATTCTAATATAATTCAAACATTGCAAGGAATAATCAAAAACTAAAATAAGGAAACTTTCCAATTTTAATCATGATATTGAATTAATCCAACATTTTCCTCCTTAATTAAGAATTAGGTATGCTTTTCATTTTCATCAACTGTCACATCTCTATGAACTACAACCTCTAACAACTTTGTGAAGATGTCCAACCTTTGCTATTTGTTATACATATGCTTCATTATGATGTCCTTATTTTCATCACACTTTGATGTAATATAACCTTGTATGTATATGATTAATTCGTCCATAATATTCTTAGATCTATAGAAGGTATGTATTCTAACCATGAATTTAGATTCTTAGGGTTTAGTTTGTGGTTTTCATAAGTATGTTGCTATTAGATGTGAAATAGACATAGATTAATTTTACGTTGCATGTACCCTGAAGTATTAAGAGAATTTATGCATGCACATTTGATTTGTAACCTAAAATAATATATTTCCAGTAAATACGATTGAAACATAGAGAAGATTTTCTTTGAGCCTAGGATCAAACGATATCTCGTTCTCGTATATGTTTAGTCTATAATCAAACATATGAATTCATAATACCATTTGGACATTACTTCCAATCCTTGCGTATTATACTAAGGATAATGTAACATCCTAAAACACGGAAAAAA